TACTATTTCAAGATTATTTTCTTTTTAAATTTTGCCTTGTTAACGTATTTTTACAACAGGGCAGGAAAATGTTTGAATGGCGATTTTTCTTCTTCCCTTGTTTTCGTTTTGCGTTGTTTTATTAAATCATTTAGTTATTTGTTGTACATAGCAATAATATGAAATAAGTTGACAAGCCTCCATAAGTTAACCATTTCTAGCTTACTGGCGACCAGCTATTTTATTTGTCAAGAGTCCTTATCTGTTGAACCTCCTAATCTGAACTTAGGAAGTTTACACAATTATTGCAATCTAAACTTTGCATTCACACAATTAAAAAATCAAGATACTTTCTGTTCATAATTTTTAATTTTATATATATCGAAGTATTAATTACAATGAAAATTTCTTTGCTCTATCGCAGGAAATGGGAAGTAATATATCTACATTTTCAGCACTGTCAACATACTTCTCCAAAAGACAGTCATGGGAAAGATATCACTGATGTATCGCCACTCCGGAGCTTGTACAACTCATATTTTTAAATCTCGTACCAGTTGTTCTGGACACACTACCCGTGAGCTCTAGTCTAGTAAGCTAGTTACCTTGCTCGCAACCTTGGTATGCCTGCTCTAACACGTACTCAAAATCCACATTTTGTGGGTCATGGATACCGAAAAATCGATTGAAGGTAAAACGGCTGTCAGTCAGACTGTGGTCAATACTAGCGCCAAAACCGTTCAGCCGATTTTCTCCAGCAGTAGAAAAAGCTCCATTTAATGACCTCCCCACACTCACACACACATACTCATACACTTCAGGATTTTTAGTATAATGTGCGGTAGGAAACAACAAACAATCATTCAAAACTCCGGAATTTTTGTCACTTGATTTGCCTAATTTGTCTGGGCTGCCTTGATAACACGGCGCAATTAAGCTAGTGAGTCACTTCAATCGGCGCCGGAAACAGGCGTCCTACGTCTTTCGTCAAGGAAGTAATCCCACGAGCGTTCGCTTCGTTTGAACTCGTTCCCATGGCGGGGCCCCTCCTGAGAAATGTTTCAACATACTACTAATAACTAGCTTAACGTGGGTCACCGGCGGGCATTTTCATATAAAACGTTAAACTTGTTTTTTGCTAGTTCATAATGAAAAACCAAATTTAAACAGCTTGCAGTTGCCCAGATGAGGAAATTCCCCCAAGACAATGTGCATCGAATATCTAGTGTCGGAAAATCCACCGCCTCCTGTGATAAAACATTTAATACACTTTGCATTTGACGCGCGTTAATAGCAAGGTACACGAAATATACAATTAATACTCCATGACAATACACGGTTTAGAGGCAAGGGAAAAAACGACTATTATTCTTTATTTACCATTATGTTGTATAAATTTGCACAGAATTATTAGATAATTCAAATATACTACTGGCCTGCAACAGCAAAAATGCTGTTGAACGAATCCACACAGCAATTTTTCAAAAAGTAGCACTGCAATGCTCTTGAACAAACAATAAATTAAATGTTTCAGCAAAAATAGTCTTCACAAACACACAAAAGTATTGAAAATATGTATTTTAAATACAAGTATTTTTTATACAGCCAACTCTGTATGTGGATTAATATGTTATTGCAACTTTGGCCGAATTTTTGCTGTTGGTGCATATTCATGTATTTATAGCCACATATTCTGTTAAAGTAGACTTAATGTCTCTAAAACATTTCATCTCTTCATAGAATAAATATAATGCAGGAATAATGCAAAGAGAGCAAAGAAAATGAATTTTTCAAGACCCTGTTGACTGAAAATTGCTGGATTTTTAATTTAGACTAATGCATATGGGATTACCTACAGTTCAAAAATGTATCTTGAATATTGGATTATAATTTACGTCATTTTAAACTTTATTTTAAAAGAAATAATATTAACTTCTAGTGCAATTGAGTTAATGCTATGAAGAGAGTTGGGGGTGGAAAAATAATTTGGGAAAGACAGCTTTAAAAACATGCCTAGAATGGTATGTAATAATGAAAGCTTGGTTATTGTTGGTGAAAATTGTGTGTGAATGGAAAAAATAAGGCACGTAATGTTGACATCACAGTGTTTTTTATCCAAACACTAAATTGACATTTGAATTTTCTGAAGTTGTTAATTTGCTTTAAATGTGCAAGTAGAGGATTCAAATTTCAAATTGCAATGACAGTACACGATATACACACTCTGCACAGTCTTGTGTTGAGGTATGTGAAGCAATAATGAAGAATATGATAGCTCTAGCGCAAGCATTACAAAATTCTTAGACAAATGTTGGAAAGCAATTATGCAAGATTTTGTGAAGAAGCTGTAGGCTACACAGTATTCTTCAAAGAATAACCATTTTGAAAAGAAAATATGTATGTTTAGTCACGACTTGTTTACATAGACATGTTAAAGAGAGAGAAGAGAAGAAGAAAAATAAGTGACATCAGGACACCGTAGATGTCTTTTCATTGAAATATTTTTAAATCATAAATTTGTAGTGTAACATCACTTTCTTTACAGTAGGTATACAAAAGAAGTAAAACAATGATGCATTAAGAAAAGAATTTATGCCTAGCAGAATAAAGGACAACATGGAAGTGTGTTATCAGACTGGAATTAAATTTGTAAAGAACAAACAGGATTGTTCTACACATATCAGAAAAAGCGGTAGAAAAGAGGTTTTCTGCACTGCAGCTTTGCAGCACAACGTAGATTCACTTAATCCACACAGCACTAGTTCATTTGATTTTTTGTTTTCAATATTAGCAGTGAAAAATACCCACAGAAAACAGAAAATTGTGAAAACTAAACATTTTTATTCAATATCAACAATTTTATTTGTGTAAAGTGTTAAAATTGTGTAACATAATTATATTATTAAGTGATGTTCACTGGTAGTGGTGATACATGAATATTACATTATGGATATTTATGTGTATTATTTATAAATGGTTATATGAAATAGTATAACTGTCACAATATATTAGCAAGAGACACACACAGACTTTGTCATTTGAATCAAGAGTAACTTAAAGGTCAATAGAGTATACTGTAGTGTACTTAAAGGTAACTTAAAAGTAAAAGGAGTATGCCTAATATTATTATTTCATTATACTGCAATAATAAATCATTATAACAATCAGCAGAAACAGTTGGACAATGTAAGACTATAATTAACTTTGCATCCATATTTTTTGGAATACATTTTCTCTGCAGATGTCTGAACAAGTGTGCAAGAAACAAGAACAATGTCTGTGAAGAAAATGTCTTTAAGTTCACACTTTTTGATGGGCGTAAATGAAATTTGAATTGTATTACATACTTTAATGTTGATGTTCTTTGTTTTAGATCAAGAAAGAACTTATTATCCAAAAGCCAATTTATTTAGCCTTTGTCATGCGTCAACTTTGCCTTTGGAATTATATAATAATTATTTATGAACTATCATAAAACATCTTATTAAAATACTTTTTTTTATATTAAAACAGTTAAAAACTGTGTGTGAAATGCTATGAACAAAAGTTAATTTGAAGTAACATTTATGTCAACAAGCAAAACAAGGGGCCATCTCAGCTTTTGCTCGAGGATCAGGGAAACGACGAAAACCTGATAGAGATGGGGGTCATTGACCAAGAAGCTGAAGTGCAATACTTGTTACAGGTTCTTTACAATTATACAATCCAATTGGTATATAATACATTAAATGTCATTGTTAAAATTAATATTACTCTCCTTTTGGATGCTCGGTAGTCTCTAATTGTATAGAAAGTAGTGCAGCAGAAAAGATTTCACTTGGAACTTTTGTATTAAATTTAATTGTTAATGTCATTTGGTAAGGTGTAAAATAATGTACACGTATTGTGTGTGAATTTTTTGTAGTCAGCTGTTGATACTGTCACCTGATGAATATGATTACTATGTCGAGTGTTGTAGTTATAGACAACAGCGTTTGCTGAAAAGATATTTCCACCCTTAAGTAAGCGAATTTTGACAAAAACCATATATTAAGAGACAAGGTAAAGGTAAAATACCATCATGGATAAAGAGAGGCTTACAAGAATCATATGAGTGGGATTTGCTTATTAGTACAATTCTTTTTTGTAATCTTAGTCTGGGAGCTATAAGATGTATTTCCCCAGAATATTATGCCACATCTCAGGTGGGAATGAACATGAATTTTGAATAATTCTGAAAGCATAACATAAAGAACTTTATTTTGCGTTCAATTCCTTTGAATGGATGTTCCATGTACGGTTTAACCGAATTGAAAGTTCTAGAAAGTATCTTACCTTAACATCAGTCAATGGAATCAGTCTTATTGGAAAACTCAAACAAGACTCTTATGCCAATTTGACAACTACTCGAGTAAATTAAAAATGTTATAATACAAATGTCATGCAAACTTTTATCCACTATAAAATTCCAGTGTTCTATAATTTGCATTTAACGTTGTTTATTTGTCAACATTGTAACAATGTCATATTCATAATGATAGTTGTTAATAAAGACCATAGATTATTTCAACACTACTGTTCTGTGAACACTTATGAAACCAATACTTAAAATTCCAAAAGGTTGATGTTAGGAAATCAAAATGGGAAAAATCTTCTATGAACTCCACTCAATAACATTCAATCACCTAGATTTTAAGATGAAGGATGATAGGTCATCAATGCATTACAACAACAACAACCCCACAAAAGGGAGAACTTCAAAATGCATTATATTCTTCAAGGGTCATTCACATATTTCTAAATCCTAAAGAGGGAAGATGGGAGGGATAGAGGCAGTTTTACATAAGGATAGATTAGTGTTACAAACCATAAAGATTTTTTTTTTAATTTGCAGAAATGATTCCTTTGTTTTTTGTCTTATACTAAACATTAACTACTAATTTGTTTTTAAAAAGATGTTACATTTCATAGAAATATTTTTTTATCAATTTTATTAATCGATTCTATAGGATTACCAAGCAAATATTCAAAACTAATACGTTGTGTATTCTAAGAATCCAAATAAATTGGTGCTGTCAATTCACAACCATGACAGTGTGAGAAATTCTCTCACCTATGCACCTTTCCTTATTCAAAAGCTGTTGCCAATCCACCAAATATACTCCAATAGCTGTCCCCAACCAACTAAGTTTGTTAGGAGCAGTCAGCATCACCAACTAATTCTGACAGTAATTATGCCGTATATTTTGATATATAACAACTAAAATTAAGACAAATTGTTGCTAGTGCGATACAATTTATTTTCACTTCCACATTTACAAGGGGATGTGTTATCACGTGTTACATAATTATTTAGGGTAGGGGAGGTTCAAACCCACATTACAGGAGGAGAGAGGGTATTACAAAATACTGCAAATCTGTTATTTTATGGACATTAATGTGTAGGCCTTTAGTTGATCAATGTGATTTTTTATCTTTAAGTCTTAAACTCAACAGTAGCAGCAAATACCTTAAATTTGAAAGATGTGAAAACACCTACCTACTACACATTTTCATTGTTACAATTTTCGTGTGAAAAATGAATATACACAGCATTATAAGTTAACGTTAATTAGACACTAACTTTTACAATTTCACATATAAACACAGGAGATGTATTTTGAAAAGCCAAAATCATATATTACAGCAAGTGGACAAGGTTAGTAGTTTCCTATTTTTGGTGAAGAAAAATAAAGTTGCTGAAAATGTTTACGTATTTCTAAATAATTAATTTTGCAATATAAAAATCCAAGATTCAAATGGAACTATTAAGTACATTATATTCGTCCCTGAAGGGCACCATTTCAAAAAAGTATTTGATCAAAAGACCACCATAAACTTTAATATTTAATAAAAAAAAATTAAGTAATGGTGCATTTATACTCTTAAATGAAATTTCAAATTTCATTGGCAAATGAAAACAATTTTCATAAAAGTATTTGCAAGTGAAGTAAAATATTTAATATAATTGTCATTTGTTGCCAAAATTTAGAATCCACTTAGAATATACAGTATACCTCCCTCCAAGAATCCATTTTGCCAAAATGTAGTTTTTTTAATTAGTAGCTTATACACAAGCCACATGATGTTGTGCCATATGATGTTAATTACCTCCCACAATTCAAACCTAATATAACCATGTACCTTACCAATTTAGATTTCCTTAATTTTTAAGGCTGCCACTATGTGGAAGTACAATACTTTTGTTAGAAGAAGCAATTCTTGCATCTAATTTCAATTGATATATCTATTCAATTCAAAGCAAGATTGATTGAATTAGGATACACAAAAAACTATTCACAACTATTTTATAATATCTTTATTTCATATTTTAATAGCAATAATAACAGTTCATTTAGTTTTACAATGATAATTTCATATTTTTTGGACAACTTGTTTTAGAGTAATTTCCTGTATGTTCCACAATGTTATTGAATTCTTACTGGCTAGCAGTTAACAGCATGCAACTAATCACATGACCGGAACTGTGAGAAACTGAAACAAAAGGAAAACTAAGTCAATATTAAATGTGAAAGCATTTATCAGATGTCTTACTCCAATACCACAGAAATTACATCTAGACAAGAAATTTTAACTATTAATCAGCTCATAAACCAAAACAAAACAAAAAAATTAAAACTTTAAATGCTTAAGAGCAGCAAAGCAAAACAATTGTCAGAAATTAAGGTTATAACTTTGCGTCCGAAGTCTCAATTAATTTGTGTAGGTAACACCAATCTATATTCACAATATTAGTGCTATTGAAAAGAAAAAATCTTTATCTTTTCATTATAAAAAATTGTACAAATGTCAATTTATCATTTACTCGAGGGTAAAAACTCTCGAGTTACATAAAAATACTTACAAAGTAACTGCTTCCAAAACGTAGCATGTAACAAAGACTACATTGCAAATTGTTGACACATAAAATAATATAGAATTTTCTGAAAGGCACCAACAGATTCTAAAGAAAGGTTTTCAAATCATGATCCCTCCCTTGGTGAAAGTAATGGGATTTAAAAAGTTGCAGTTGGTCTTATTTTTATTCTTATCGAAGATGGCTTTCTGTTTAACTAACTAATAGTCAAATACACTGGATTAACACACTAATAACTAATTTTTAAATTTTGGTTTATTAACAAAATTACTTGGGACAAATGTTTTCAGCAATCACGTAGTTGATGTTTGCAACCATAGTGACAAGCAGTAATACAGTGCTAGGAATGTTTGGAAAAATTTGTAATCTTATATCATTAAAATTCATTAATACAAACCATCACTTTGTAGTAGGAATTTGTTCAAATACTCCCTGTACTATAAATAATATTGCACACATCAATTTTTTCTAGTTAAGTTAAAAACATAACCAGAAGGAAAACCAATAAATTATGAAAATCTTTAAAGAACACCTAAAAATGTGACAAGGGTTTTGTGTGCCCAGAAGGGCATTTGGAATTTTTTGAAAACCTCTTTAGAATGTTACTAGAAGTTTCTATGCATATAATGTTATCTCCTTCTCCTTCAGGAGAAATCTTGACATCTAATCAATAGTTAAATAAGGCACCATATTAAGTACTGTAGAATAATGTGCAATTTAAGAATTATGAATTTACAAACCTATTCATTTAATTACAATATTCAAAATGATCAGAAATCAAAATTTTGCTCCCTTGTTATACAGATAACAAAGATAAGCTAAAATATTAAATTGCATATGTAAAACATAACAGTACTTCAATTATAAAATTTAATGATAATGAAACAAATTGCACGAGATTAATCACTCAGTGGGAGTTTTTAACAATGGCAATAAAGGAACCCAAAACATAATTGAAGTACCTTCACAATATCACTGATGTTATTAAGCCAAATTAGCATCCACCAGCTAACATCATGCACTATTCCAATAAATTGTTGATACCATTTTTCTTCCTACTGAAAGTGCAAATTATTGTCAAATAGCACACTATAATGCAATATCTACAGAAGATAAGAAAAATCACTACGATACAGTCTATATAAAAACCCGATTTCTTGAAATACATGAATTATCTTGTTTTACATTTTACTCTTGCAAAATTAACAAATACAATTTATGTGCACTAGAATCATGAGTTGCATGTTATTTCTCATAAATGTTGTTTTATTTAACTACATAACCCAAAGCCTAATTCAAACACGAAAACTTATGCTAATCAAAAGTAATCATAGCTGCACTTAGTAACTCTCAAATACCTTAAATATAAAATTTTTGACAAAGATAATTCAGAAAAATATTTCAATTTGTTTATAATACACAACAGCGAAAATAACTAATGCATTGTAAGCATTCATTGAACATCAACAGCTTGCAGAATGACCATTTAAAATGCACAAAGAAATGATTAGAAACTTACTCCCGACATAACACAAAAGACCAAAGAAGTAGTATTACATCATATTACAATAACCAGCTAATAAACCGCAACGAACGCTCCTCAAAGGAATAATAGAATTACCTTTAAAAAAAACTGCACCATTTTCTTCACTTGAACTTCAAAAGAAGTTCTTTCAGTTTGTCTGCATTGGCTCCGGAGAAGGCTTCTACTTTTTGCTTGTTTTTGATGAAAACGAATGTGGGCATGGCAGATATATCGTACTGCGTTGCGATGTCTTCGCATTCATCCACATCCACTTTCAGGAAAACCACATTGGTATAATCTTTTGACATTTCTTCAATTTTTGGTGCAATCATTTTGCAAGGGCCGCACCATGTGGCATGGAAATCAACTATAACCAAATTGTTTCCGGCCTCCTCCAATTTTTGATTAAAATCAGCCAGATCTTTCACTTCGTACACCATTGTGGTATGGGCTGATGTAGATGTCGGAAGAAGCTGAAAATGTGAACAAACGATTACTTCATGACGACCACGCCCACACCAGTTACTTAGTAAATTAAAAACAAATTGTAACTAAGAACGCACAAACACAACACTTGGATACGTCGGCTACCGGTCACCGTGAACACGACCACACTACTGCCCAGTCCAGAAGTTATTAACTTACTAAACGTCTTAACGTACCTGCTGAGTATAAATACGAAGGCCTTCCTCAATAAGCAAGCCTCTTCCCTAATAAGGAAAGAATTATTCCAAGAAGAAGTGGACAAGCGGTAATCAAACGGCAACTGTGAAACAACTACTGGGCGGCTTCCGAGAATGAACTATGACGCGACGCGCAATTCGCGCAATACTTACACTCTCTGAGCCGATCTCACCCGACTTCTTACGAAGAAGTTCGGGTATTTCATTCGACCGAGGCTTGAGCAGAGCATAAGTGTACCAATAGAAGAATGACGTAATAATTTGACCTTCGTTCTCCACTCCCTTGTCTACACGAAATCACACAAAACTTGATATTTAATCATTACTTGAATTTTTATCAGCAATACTGAACGTAATTCTGGATTATTTGATTTGAAAAAAATTGTTCTCTAGAATAATAGTATGCTCTTATTTACGTTCTCGCTTCTGTTTACGCAGTATAGAGAAATTGTGGTTATACTGCGCGAAACTAGTGGTCCTCAACAGCACATACGTTCTCGCATAAACCGGAACGGTTACGTAATCTATATTTTATGTCTTCTATATCTATCAGTGCCGGATTATTTTATTTTAATTTATGTATACATATATGTGTGTCCTATTATATAAATAATGACAGTAACTATTTAAGGTAAAAAAAATTAATTGAAAAATTAATTAAATATGACAATGCACCGCAACTTTTAAAATTATGATAACGACTTTCTCGAACTTTAATTCATTTTTTTCAATTTTTTAATATTTTTCCCATCAGTCCCATTATCGGCTCCTTGACTTGCGGGACTCTGGGCGATCACCCGGTCTGCCCACGCCTAGCGCCGGCACTGATATCTATAGTAGTAGCTATACATTATACAGAGCGCTAGATTATACAGAGACGAGTGCATTGAATTACAGCGCGATAAGCTCAGAATGTACTGAACCAATATTGATGAAACTTTTGAGCTAGTTTCCTTTGAAGGTCTGAAGTACTATAGCCAATGATTACAACTATAAACTTTAATATATTGTCAAATTAATTTATTTTGTGGCGTTTTTTTGCCTAACATTACATCACAGATTCAAAAATGCATCATTGTGCAATAGTTTAGTTACACGTCACCAGAGGATGAGTGAAATCTATGACTGAGATCATCAATGCACACAATTGCATGACTATAGGATAAAAGAGGGCTGATTGTTTATTTTACATTCAAATGTCTAACCTGAAATGAACATTTTTAAGAATGACTCTGATTTTTCTATCTCTATCTATGCTTTTAATTGCATCTAGGAATGAATATATTAAATGTGCAAGAGATATGAAATGATTGAAAAAAAAGTAATTTTGCTGATGGCTGTGCTTGATACGGTTGTATGAATGCACATACGTTTTCCGCATGAAATAGATATTGGTTTAGTTGTTGTAAATTACGTATGGTTATTACGTAGCTGCGAGTTGCACTAACGAAAGTGAAACATATGTGATTTACGTTCTGTGCTGAAACTGCCAAATGGATGAATTTAGTCAGGGAGTGTTTTGTTACAGTGGAGAGTGAAAGCGTACATTTAGGTGGGGAAGGAAGGATTCTTTAAATTTATGAAAGTTTGGCAAGAAGTATAATTGAAGTAAAAACTGTATGGTAAATGGAAATTTGAAGAAATTGAAAGTGTAACTACGTGTTTTTCAAGACCGTCGAAAAAAAAGTTTTTTTTTTTATAGACATTTACATGTTAATATTACCTTCTCCTTCATCCTTCTTCTCTCGCAAGTTCTAGGCTGGAAAATTTCTTACTTTTACCTACAACGCACTTTTTCAGATATCTCACTCATAAAATGTGTTATATTCAATCCATGGAAGTAATTTTACTTTTGTTCTGAATTTATCAACAATATGTACACGTATAATTTGAACAAGAACAAATTATGAATTGTACATCTTATCAAATCTTATTTTGTAGACTTGCGAGTATCCGAGGTCATAATGCTCAAGATTACCTCGGATGTAAAAACTGAATCCAGTTTACTTGATGAGGATCAAGTACAAATGGGTATTAAAGAATTGTGGAACACTGTCAATACATAAACTACATAAAACAAACTAAGAGTATATCGAATAATCACGAACATATCGTAAATTGAATAATCACGTTTCCCGCGTACATAGTAGGGCAATTAAAATGAGAGTGTCAATGACAAACACTCAATGTTCGACGAGAGAATCCAATGATCTTTCTAACTTGTCTACATTTTTCTAGACTCTTGTACATACTCCTCACGTCTCTATTATCCTTTGCCAATAACAAACGCGCATGCCAAAGTCCATATCTTCATTCCAATCACCACCCCTCCCTCTTTTTTTCTTTTTCGGACCTTCTAACGCTAAAGAGATTGTATTGTAATCGTTCGCTGGAAAACGGCGAATTTTCGACACAAAAAATCTTATTGCCGAACCCTGGTAAGAAAAAAAGTGGATACATTCAGTTGCTAGAATAGAAAAAAATCCTCTAACATGCGATGTAGCCAGAATTTGTTTTCTCGGTCCTTCATACCGAAAACTCGATTGACGGCAAAACGTCTGTCTGTCTACCTGCGCACAACGATAGCGCATTAATCGTTCAGCCGATTGTCTCCAAAAATGGTATTCTCTAATTGTTCTAGCCACTGTCGCGGACTGTGAAATTTGATACCGTTATTTCATTTTGAGGGGTACTTTACATGAAGTCCCTGAAGCATTTTCAAAATTTTCAAACAAATGGCTCCAAAATGTTTGATTACATTTTGTTGTTGAATAGTGCAAAGAACGTTTAAGAGAATGGTGCATGACTCATTTTCATTGACATACCCGATTTTTCGAAAATTAAAAAAAATCAATTTAAAACTTCAAAATTGGAATTAAAGATTTTTGTCGCAGACAGAGTGTTGTACAATATTAGCTCTTTAAAAAAGGTCATGTACAATGTTTTTAAAAAACGAGTAGTTTTTGCATTATTTGCGAATGAAATGTACGATTTTTTCTCAAATACTGCTCAATTTTTTCTTTAAGGTTTCTTCACTTATGTAATAAGATATGATAAAACATGGTGGTAGTCATATTTGTATTGTTCGGTTTTTGAAAATTTCAACAAAAAACATTTAAAACCACAAAATTGAAGATAGAGATTTTTGCCTGAGGCAAAGTCTGTTGTACAAAATTAGCTCTTCAAAAAAAGTCACGTAAAGGTTTTGGCACACACGAGTAGTTTTTGCGTAATTTCTGTTTGAAATTAAGGAAATATATACAGGTTTCACACCAACTATGGTTCAAGAGAAAAACTGAATGAATGATATGAAAAATAATTAATTTAGATTTAATTATAACTTACTAACGAATATGCCAATATTATATTTCTACATTTTCACTTTTTACTCATTTTGTATCCTCAATGTATTGATGTATATCTTTTTAAACCTTCTAGAAATATCGCAAAAATTACGGCACCGATATTTGAGAAGCTAATTGTAGTCGAACGTCGAGATGTTGCAATGATAAGATACTGTTGTTTCTCGTATTAAGTCCTGCTGATGGTGGTGTTACTCCTAGATCGAGAGCCAGTATTTCATTTGTGATCAATTTCGCAGCAATTTTTTACAATTACTCTTCAGAATACCCGGTGAGGTATGTTAGATATCATTTAAAATCACCTGATGGCTACAAAAATTTACTGCTTATTGAATAAAAGAAAAACGATGAAACGCTATCGAAACTTACGACGAAAAGCAACTCAGGAGTGAGCAGCCAGAATATTCGTATTTATTTAGAAGTCAATTGCTTATATTATAACTACTGAATTAATATTATTAGCCAAGCGAATGCACATAGTTTTAACAATGCTACGCTGGCAACAGTGCATTGCCAGCTTTTTTGAATGAATTGTGTTTTCTAATACTAGCTGAAGTGTTAGTTGCGCAGAAAGTGCAATATTTCAATATTAAATATGTTTCCAATAACGCGAGAAAGTATGTGCTGCTGTAGCACCACTTGTTCTTTCTTATTTTCTCCGGGGGCTTTTTCCAGCCATTATGCCCCTCATGGGGTCTCACATTAACTTCTACACTTTCACACAAATGCGAACTGTTCGTTCTGTGGTCAGAAGACTCACAAGGCTTTCCTTAACAACTCTGGACAAGAAAGACAAGGAACAATCAACCATTCCCACGGCGGGACACAAACCCGCGACCCTCCGGACCGAGGCGCTGAGACTGCACACACTCTAGCCACCTCGACCATCCAGGTCGCCACCCCCTCCTGCTTTTATCCCTAAATCTCTCCAGCCTTGTTACATACACGTTAAAAAGGGTGGCATCATTGCTTTAGTCCTTCATCAATCCAAAACCACCTCTCTTCTTGCTCATTTTGACTCTATCATTTGCCTTCATTTATTTAATTATTCTTCCAATGAATCCTCCACTTTTACTAATATTATCTATAATATTCCACAACCTCCCTCTCTACGCTTTATCAAACGCAGCTTTTAAATCTAGAAAGTCAGCACTAATTTTCCCTTCTCCTTCACTGCTATCGCAATAACAAAATTCAATAAATAAATATTATCGATCCCTCCCTATTACTTCGTAAATCCCACCTGGTGTTCACTCGTCACTCCTAATTTGTATAATTACTCTTCTTGTTCAATCTTGATCATCTCCGTTTTGTTTTCTTCCTTCTAGATAATCTACATCTTGATACTATATTGATAATCTCTCTCAACTTTATACCCACTACATATCAGAGTGATGCCCATGAAGCTCTTCGCATCCTCTACCTAATTATATTTTGTTCAGCGAAATAAAAAATATTTGCCACTTCAATGTATAATTGAAGGCATAGATCTTCTGAATTGCATTCAAACCAGCGTAGCCGCTGTATCTGCAACGACTCACAATTAGGTTGTAGGGTTTGAACCCAACTTTTCGACACTAGATTGTAGCTACGATGGCTGTTTTCCGAGGTTTCTCCAATTAATACCAGGCGAATGGCAGAGTGGTAGTTTAAGAACGAACCACGGATTGAGCTCGATCATTCTATTGGTTTTTACATCGTTATTCTTGTACTCTTCACTCTTCACATTCACACAGACGCAGTAATAAGAAAGAAAAGAAAAAAACACTTATGGGGAAGCCAGCCGGGAAACAACATACATACGCTTTTAGAGCTTATCCCGGTTGGCGCAGTGTTCTGTTCGTGATGTTGGGGGGGGGGAGCCGGAGTGTAGGAAGAAGAGCGACGGAAATCCCGTGCCAGCGAGGAAGGAACCAATCGCCTTCCGACTCTTTCCCGCGCACGGAACGACCGACCCAAGTCGCTGCCTCGATGGCTCCTCACCTTGTTGGCGAGGCGCGACTGGCGGCCCCCCATCTTGGAGGGCTGCTGGTGCGCTTGCCGCTTGCCCTTCTTGGGCACGGCAGGGCGCTCGGGAGGCGTGTCCGGCGTGGGCTCCATCTGCCTGCTCCGCTGCGCCTCCGCCGCCGCCGCTGCCTACTCCGCCAGCCGCCTTCTTGCCATGCGCCTCCTGCGACCACGCCACAGCGTCCCTCGCCCTCCCTCTGAGCGCCTACGAGTACGTTCGCACCGAATTGCAGAGAAAATTCCCTGACAAGAAATCGACCGCCGAAGATCTGAGCTGCAATATCAGGCAATTAGAGCAGCAAAAGCAGAATTGCAAGAATTACGCGAAAACTTGTACGTGATCTTATTTAAAAATCTAGTTTTCTTAAGCTGGCAATACGTTTCCGCAATATTTTTCAGCAATTTGTTTCCGCTTCTTGCGGTCATCTTTATACTAGCAAGAGCAAGGAGAGGCAATATATTGTCAGAAAGATCTGCGCAAAATCTTTCCGGCAAGATATTGCCGATCGTTTGACATTAGTTGCCGTGTTTGGTGGCGTCACGAGGAAAATGGCGCGTGAACTTAAGTGAGGTTATACCTCACCAACATAACTAGTGGAAGGCAGAAGATGCGAGTTGCTGTCACACGTATTGAGCTAAATGAGAAGATGAAGCAACGCCGACGATTTGTGAGGAGATGCGACTGAATTTTAAGAAGAAAGGAAAAGGGGTCTTGTGTGAATTAGGTAGAAGTGTCTGAATATTTCTCATAAAACAAAATGATTTCGTGGATTTCGATTCCCGTGGGAGCAAAGTAATTTCCTTTTAATAAAGAGTGAAATTACTAATTTGGTAAACAGTTTTAAAATACCAATTTCCTACAACTGATGTATTATAGAGTAATCTTAAAATTGATTTAGATTAGATTAATATCTTAATTTTTAACGTAAAAAGTTAATAATCAGGCGGCATCTATACCTGAACCAAAATTTGAACCTTTGATAATCAACCATAGAGGGAATATTTATTACTACTTCTTTTATTGTCGTAAACCTTTTTCACACACTCATTTTACGAAAAAACGCATA